GCAAAGTTCACAAGGACACCTAGCTGAGCTGTCTGACTCGTTAGACTAGGATCAAAAGTATAAAACAACCTGATTGTTGCTAGCTCCCTTTGCTAAGTCTGGTTATAAATCAAAGATGATGATTAATTCATTATACCCATTTCTGCCCTCAATCTCCTGCTTTAAAAACCAATTGATGAGTGTAAGGTTTATAGATTTAAAGTAAAGCTGACTGGATCTTTTTCATATATAGTTTATGTTTGTGATTCCTTATAAGAAACCGGGCTGTGGTGGCACCTGCCTTTAAACCCAGTAATCAGGAGGCAGAGGCAGGGGAATCTCTGTGAGTTCGAGGCCAGCCTGGTCTACAGGAGCTAGTTCCAGGACAGGCTCCAAAGCCACAGAGAAACCATGTCTAAAAAAACCGGGGGAAAACAAAAAAAGCTTGCTGGCCCACACGGTTAATCTATAACAAGTTTCTTGGTTAAGAATGTATGTGAGTTCTTGGGATTATTTGTCTTTTACTTGTAATACATAAAATGTTTAGTCATGCAAGGGAGATGAAAAGCATGTTTTTACATGCACTAATTACAATCATTCGATTGAAAAGCAGAATGGAACCACATTGCAATTCCTATACAACTTGAAAAAGTTTTGGGGATATATAAATATGGAGTAGAAAAAAAAACAGAGGAAGAACCCAGAGAGAACATGAGAATCCCTAGAATAAAGAAGGAGGCCATTGAGAGACTTCCTGAGTGTCTTTTTCCATAACACCCCCCAGACAGAAAAGTCTAGTTTACACCAGCACTGTGGATTCCTCTCAAAGCCCTCTGGTGCTGAGGCATGACCTCCCAGACAGCAGTAAAACCCGGGTACTGTCACCACCTTTTGGGTGGTCTCAAAGGAAGTGGCATTATTGGGAGGTGTAGCTTTGTGGGGGGAAGTGTGTCACTGAGGGGGGTGGGCTTTGAGGTCTCCTATGACCAAGTTACTCCCATGGGACAGTCTACTTCCTGTTACCCGCTTATCAAGATATAACCCTGATTGCCTGCATGCTACCACGCTCCCCACCAGGATGATAATGCACTGAACCTCTGAAAATTTAAGCCACCCCAAATAAATGCTCTTCCTTTGGGAGAGTTGCCATGGTTTTAGTAACAGCAATTCAAACCCTAACGAAAAACACAAAAACATTATGTTTAGGGATAGATAAAGCTCATGGGACAGCTTGTTTAATGTCTTTCACACAGGGGCATATCTTATTCTCTCCCAACCCATTTCCAAGTCAGAGCATCAAAGGTCACTAGGAAGCAATGAGACTTTAAAAATGAACTTGGCCCAAGTGAACACATCCACCTGAGTGTGGTCTTCAGATGTCTTCAGCTCCTGGACACACCACCAGGACCCCACGGCAGCATGCCCAGGATCAGCCTAGGAAGGAAACAAACAAGTTATACAAATGCCAATTCTATTGTCAACTCTATTTCCAACTACAGGAGTTCCGTTCTCTTTGGCCTTGGAGTGCCAGTTGGGTCTCCAAGGCATCACTTGAGCAGCCGATTCAAAACCAAGAACAAAGCCACTCTTTTCAAGTTACTTTGATTCTTTAGTAATTCACACTGTGATGGTTTGGGGAACTCAAAATGACTGAAACCAGATAAAGGTCACTAGCTGTCTTCCTTGTGTCCTTCCTCACCCAGGGCACAGAACAAACATTTGTCATCTGTACAGCTTCATACATTCTGTTCACTAAACTGACATTTCATCATAAAGCTTTGAACACTGATGAACTTGTACTCTCTTGAGGATTAAATAGGCAAATATTGACTCAGTATCCAGAGCCAAACCACTATCATTGATCCAGAGTGAATACTTCAAAGGCCAGGGGAAGTTCTGATCTCAAAAGTTATTTCTCACCTACACTCATTGGGAGGCAGTAGAACTATGGGAAAGAGGAACATCACTTCCTGTTGAGTGTTCAGAGAGTTGATGGGACTGGAAACCTTTGGACATTGCTCTTCTAGTCTGTAAATCTGTGCTGTTGGTCCCTGTAAAGTTATGTCATGCACATGTGTGCTCACATGAAAACATGTACTATTGCGGTAAATAAGATTACAGAAGAACTTCAGGTGACTGACAAGGCAAAATGTCTCTGTCATTTCTAGAGTTTATATACTATCCTTCTGTGGTCTTTGATGGAGTTGAAGACAGATAGTTATGGTTATAGTTTTCCTTAGTTAAGCTTAAAGATAAATTACATATAGGACTTTAACTCACAAAGATAAAATAGATGATGTAATATTTTCTTCAAATCTTCCTAAATGTTAATGGACTAGATAGTGTTAACTGTGATTCTTATTTGATAACTGTTATGTGATATATTTTGCTATGTTAAGGTTAAAACGCTTCTTTTTATTTAAACACAAAAGAGGAGATGATGGGAGATGCCATTATGTATATATGTTTCTCATACTGGTTAATAATAAAGCACTGTTGGCCAATAGGAAAGGAAGATAGGAGGGACTAGGATACAAGGAGGAAATAGGAAGTAGTAAGGAGGAGTCAAGATGGAGAGTCTGGAGAGAGCCGGACGCCAGCCGCCTCTGCGGTAAGAGAAGGCCATGTGAAAATACATAGATCAGCAGAAATGGGTTAATAATTAAGGCAGAGCTAGCCAATAAAAAAGTAGTAACTGGTCAACAGTATAATATCAAATACAGAGTCTCTGTGTGTTATTTGGGGCTGGCGCGGCAGCGGGACCAGACCAGGCGTTGGGTAGAAAAACAGTACTCGTTACAATGTACAGATTTTACAGTTTTACACAAATTAAATTATGCTTGCAAAGCTTCATGAACTACATCCATAGTAACAAACACTGACCTGAATTCTCAACGAAACAGTGAATAAAATGCAGTAGCAAAATTCTGTATGATGGAAACACCACTCTTCCTTCTTCAGTCTTAAAGCTCCTGCTGCTCCTATTTTACTGGTTATTAATTGTCAGGAAGAGCTTTATCCACAGAGGCTTGTGCATTGTTCTCTTTCTTAAAGCATCCATTTACTTTTATGTGTGTGTTTTGCCTGCATCTAGGACTGGGCGCCGCATGTGTGCCTGGGAACTGTAGAAGCCAGAAGAGGGCTTCCATCTCCTATAACTGGAGTTTCAGACAGTTGAGGGCGGGCACATGGGTGCTGGGAATCCAGCCCTCTGGAAGAGCATTCAGTGCTCTTAGCCACTGAGCCATCTTTCCAGCCCCTGTTTTTCTTTAGGATGAATTTACACTGGTAGACCCAGGTGACAGTTTGTGGTGTGTCCTACTTCTAGTGTGAGAAAAAGAGGACCTTCCCTCATGGCAGCAGACAGTCCCACAGCTTCCAGTGACCTCTCTTTACTTCAGTGGGTTCTTTACTTTTTAATCACTGCTGAAATCCTAAAAACTCAAGCTCTTAAGTATGCTCAAAAATCACTCTACACAAGAGTGTACCCCAATCCCCAGAAACTTTATAAATAAGAAATAAAATGACTTACACCATGTTAAATGGATATATTCAAGAGAAGCTTCTGTAATAATCACAGATACAGGGACACTTACCGCTTCCTGTCTCTCTGTACAGTCCCCCAGACCTCTATGGTTAACTAGTGGCTAACGCTACCCTCTGACTCCAAGCAAGCTTAAATTGACAGAACACAAACAAAATATCACACAACAATGGGGGGGAGGTGCTATTAGGAGGTATGGACTTGTTGGAGTAGGTGTGGCCTTGAAGGTTGGCATCAAATTCTCATATACTCAAGGTGGGCCTAGTGTGGCATTCACTTCTGCCTGCAGATCAGGATGCAGAGCTCTCAGCTCCTTCTCCAGCACAGTGTCTGCCTGCACGCCACCATGCTTCCCTCCATTACGATAACCGACTGAACTTCTGCACCTTTAAGCCAGCCCCAGTTAAATGTTTCCTTTGTAAGAGTTGCCTTGGTCTTGGTGTCTCTTCACAGCAATAGAAACACTACAACACTGTTACAAGTGTTATGACTACCTGTTGTTATGACTTTCTTGTTACAACTACCTTGCGATCTTTGTTACAGTTTCACAAGAGGTTGTCATGGCTCACTTGCTAAGCTTATGTTCTGCTCCTGTAGCCTTACCTATCTTTGCTGCCAAATCCCCAACTTGGAAAACCCTACGCTGAGCTATAAAGACCTTGTCTTCTTCTTTTCCGACGCTGACCTCTAGAACCCTGCCTTAGCAGAAGGCAGCTCAAGAACAGCAGTAAAAACCCTTGCTTTAACTAATTGTTTTAATTAATATGGCTATGGTTTGGTTTGGAGGTCTTTCTTCTTCCGTATGCGGGATTCACACCATCTCTAGTAGACCCCACAGATCTGCTCCTATCCCTGCCCGCAACTCTAGCAATCACAACCTGGGAACCCCAGGCCACTCTGACGAGGGAGGCAAATAGGCTAACTTCAGATCTGCACCTCCACTCCACTCCACCAAGTGCAATATCCCAGTCTCTTCCTCAGAACTCCAGCACACCTGCTGTGGCCTCTCCACACCCTGTCCCAGGGCCCCAACAGATAAACACCCAGGGAGCATCTTGTAGAACATCTCTTAGACCTCCTAGTAAATGTGTTCCTAATGCAACCACATTTCTGTTTTACAAGATATATATTCCCCTAGTGATGTATTACATTATGTTGCAGCACCCAACTTGTTCCGTGCACGTGACATTCTTTTGTCTGTGAGACGCACGTTGTAGGTCGTGTTTCTCTGCGCTTACTGAGCTCCTGCTTTCTGAGCTCGCCTTCCTAAGTGTTTGCGTCGGCCTGTCTTTCGTATTAACGAAAGTACGCGGTGATTTTGAAACGTATGTAGTGCTTGATTAGACCTCTCTGCAACTCCTGCACCGGCTGGCTCTCTGCAGGGACCGCAGCAGCCCGGCGCGTGCGCAGTGTGCGCCTGCGGCCGCTGCGCATGCGCACGCTCCCGCGCCGCCGTTTCCCCGCCGCCTTCCGCTCCGCTCTCCTACGGCGGGGCTGGATGGCCGACCCCGACGCCGCGGGTGTGGAGGAGGTGGCAGTCCGGCGCCGCGAGCCCAGGTGACTCGCCCTCCTCCAGCCTAAAGCCCTCGGCCCGGGCGACGCCTCCGGCCTGAGCTCCTTCCCTGGCGGCCGCGGCCCCTCCCCTGGGACAATATGTTCAAGAGAATGGCGGAATTTGGGCCTGACTCCGGCGGGAGAGTGAAGGTCAGTGCGCAGGCGCGGCGCGCCGCCGGCGGAGGCCGAGTCCCTTCGTGCGCTCGGCTCTCCGTCTGGCCCCGCCCCGCCCGGCGCTCATTGGCTCCGAGTCCCCCCATCACCTTCTCGCGTCCCGCCGAGAACCGAAGGTTCCGGGGCGGGCTGGGCCGTCTGGGGCGATTACAGATGTGGTTCCTGCTGTGCGTGGGCGTGTCGTCGCCCAGACTTGTCATTCCCGAAGTCATCGGAGGGGCTCGGGGCCGCCTTCGCGTTTCGTGAACGACGTAATGTTGGAGGTTGTGACGTACAGTTCCCTGTCACGTTTATTTTAGCATCTTAACGTGTGCTATGGTAGGGGGTGGGCGTCAGAGCACAGCTCGCGGGGGTCGGTTCTCTGGTGTCACCTTGGGGGTGGGTCCTTGGTGTCAGTCTGTAAGGCTCGCACCCTCCCTCCTTCCTACAGGCACGATCGACTGTTCCTGGTGCCCCTTTCCCTTTAATCCTACTCTACAGGAATTATTTTTTTTTTTTCTCAAAAGAAATGACTTTTACACCATCTATTTAGGTTTTTTTGGTTGTTGTTTTTAAGACTTATTTATTATGCATACTGTGTTCTGCCTGCATGTCTGCCTGTAGGCCAGAAGAGGGCACCAGATCTCATTACAGATGGTTGTGAGCCACCATGTGGTTGCTGGGAATCGGACTCAGGACCTCTGGAAGAGCACCTAGTGTTCTTAGCCACGGAGCCATCTATCTCTCTAGCCCCTGTTTAGTTTTTTAGTTTTTTTTTTTTTTTTATCTTTATCAGCATCATTAGCCACGGAGCCATCTATCTCTCTAGCCCCTGTTTAGTTTTTTTTTTTATCTTTATCAGCATCATATTAGTTTTGTATTACCATAATCATAGTGTCTATACATCCATAGCCGTTTTTATATTAAATGTAAAGTGAGAATTCCTCTGCAGTCCTAAAGTCACTGAAATGTAATAGGAGAAAGAAACTCCAGGTTATGTTCATGTTAGTATGGGAGGCGCCATAGAAGTATGCATTTGCCTAGCCTTTAGCGAAGACTTTGAGCCAATTTTGGCCTGATTCCAGAACAACGGGTTAATGTGAAACATTCTCTCTACATTTTGAATGTCAGGTTCTAGACGTTTGTATATGTTAGTTCAGAATAACGTGAGAAGGTCAGGTCTGGAGTCCTCCAACACCAAGAACAGTCTGACACAGCTTAAACTTTGGGGACCTGTTTTTCTTTGCTGATTACTCTGTGTATGCTCGTAGAGTTATCTCCTTCCAACACAGATTAAACCTCCAGGAAGAGGGTCTGTTCGTGAGTCCTTTCCGTTACTGACAAATTGACAATTCCTTGCACCACCATGCTAGCTGTTGGATCTGCTCATTGTTTGTTTACTGGGTCCGTACCCTTTTCATAGAGTTATCGCCTTCCAACACAGATTAAACCTCCAGGAAGAGGGTCTGTTCGTGAGTCCTTTCCGTTACTGACAAATTGACAATTCCTTGCACCACCATGCTAGCTGTTGGATCTGCTCATTGTTTGTTTACTGGGTCCGTACCCTTGTACTCGGTTCCATCAGGCCCTGAACCTGAGGCCGTATATATCTGTGGTGGTCACATCACAGCGTCGTCAGTGGTGCCTGCTATGATAGGCTCACGTAAAAGCTACTGGCCTTGTCTTGAATTCACTTTAAAACATTTTTATTACATGTATTGTTTGTTCATGTGGGTATGAGCATGCTAAGTGTGGATCTAGAGGTCAGAGGATGGATAGCTCGGGGGTCATCAGCACCTTTGCCTACTGAGTAATCTCACTGGCCCAGAATTAACTGTGCATGTGCAGGTTTTGATTTACTTAGCTATGTAGATACAGTTTAGCATTTTCTGTTGGCTGCCCTTTTCCTTTTTCTTGGGGTTTACTACACTGATACATTCTCTGTCCTTGGGGTGTTTCCATTATTGGACAGTACATCTCAGATCTATGTACAACAGTTGGTGTTTTAATATGTTTTCCATCATAACCTGTCAATGCAGCCTTCACACTGATCAGAAGCCATGAACACATCCTAGAACTGAGCACAGCTGTAGCAGATGTGCTGTGCGCCATCAGCTAGCAAGCATTCAGGGGCCACATTCACTATTTCTGCCATTGTAACATTTATATTTTTTGAAGATTTATTTATGATGTATACAGTGTTCTGCCTGCATGTCTGCCTGCAGGCCAGAAGAGGGCGCCAGATCTCATTACAGATGGGTGTGAGCCACATTGTGGTTGCTGGGAATTGAGCTCAGGTCTTTGGAAGAGCAGCTGGTGCTCTTAACGTCTGAGCCATCTCTCCAGCCTGTAACATTTATACTTCCTGACCATTCTGAAATTGAGGGCTCGACTTTCTAGTTGTGTCTTGTGTGTTAAACCCATTGTATTATTTAGCTTTTTGTTGTGGTAACAAAATACCTGAGAGAAACCATTCTAAAGGAGGGCAGTTTATTTAGGCTCTAGGCTTCAGAGGTATGGAAACCCAGAAGGCCTGAATTTATGCAGCCTCTCACCACAGAAGCCAGTGAGCAGAAATGGGCAATGGATTTTAAGTTTAGTTTTATTCAGAGAGCCAGCGGTTGGACAAGGCAGCACCCCCCACACACACACTGCCTCCCATTTCCTCTCGAGCCAGTTTGGGGGTAGGGGGAGCTGGAGAAAGGAGGTCCATCGTTGTGAGCTTAGTTTTGCCCTTCGGGTCATGTGGTCAGCCATGTTTCCCATGTCTCTTCTCACCACCCCTTGCACGCTTCTCTGGCCTCTTGAAATGCCGAGTTAGGTGCGTGTCTGCTGGCGTCAACCTTGCCCGGGGGCATCCAGGCCAAGGGGACTTAACTGAGAGCACTGGAAGCATCAGCAGCATGAATACCAAGTGTTTAGTAACTCTGTGTGCAGAGTCCTTTCTGCTGTACAGAATGCAGATGTGTCCACAAAACAGACTGTAAAACTGCCCTCCCTCCCTTTCTGCCTGTGGTCACATAGCCCATTATAGACTTGCAGCATGTCTGAACATCATGGCAGGGAGCATGTGACAGAGCAGAGCCGCTGACCTCTGTAGCCGGGGAAGAACAGGGTAGACCTCTAGAGACCACGGCAAGGAGCCGGCTTGCTCCCTATTAGGAGCTCCTAATAGGCCATTCAGCTGTGAGCTCCACAGGGCACGAATTCATTGATAGGTTAGTGCCCTCGCTGCCCTGTCACCTCAGCGCCACCAGCTGGGGACCAAGCTTCCGGCAATAAGCCTTTTGGGGTACTTCATATCCAAATTATAATGTGCATAATGATGACAATGGAAAATGTTTGCCCTAAAATTCATAAATTGTCCTTGGTTTTTGTGCTATGCCTTGGAAATTCTGCTATAGATTAATTTAAAAGACCTTCAGCTGCAAGCAATACCAGTCAAATTGGCAGTTGTATTCCATACCCTAGCTTTTAGGTTTGTGAAGGCATTCTGTTTCTCTTTAATCAGATACTCATGTGCCTTATATGGAGATGAGATGAGAACATTCAAGTCATGGGGACAGCTCAGCAGGTAAAGGCACTTGCCACCAAGCCTGATGACCTGAGCGCAGGCCGCAGGCCCCCATGGTGGAAGGAGGAGAATCCACTCCGGCCGACCGTCTGTCTGTCCTCCACGTGTCTGTCCTCCATGTGTACTGTGCACTGCAGAGTGTGCACACAGATGCACAAAATAGCAAACAGTTCACGTAGGGAGCACCGTGAGCCGCCTCGTGGGTGCTGGGACCACACCTAGTCCTCTGCAAGAGCAGAGAGTGAGCTTCAGCTGCTGAACTGTCCCTCCAGCCGCTCAAACGGGAAGGTTGTTCTTGTTAACTTGTTATCGTGTTACCGTGGAATGAATATGAAAATAGGTCGATGGGATCCCTGTCCTAACTAAACCTAAAGTAGTTAGAAACTGTCCCCTAAAACAAGTTGCCTGATGCTCACTGTTTGTTTATTCAGGTGATGGTAAAATACTTACTGAGTTTTAAACTTGCTTTTCTTTTAGGGGGTTACCATCGTTAAGCCAATAGTTTATGGTAATGTTGCCCGATATTTTGGGAAGAAAAGAGAAGAAGATGGACATACCCACCAGTGGACAGTATATGTAAAACCATACAGAAATGAGGTGGGCATTTGGTTTTTCTGTAGCTATCTTTTGAAGTACAATTTGTTTACTTGACAGTAAATTATGAAATTCTGTGTAGGAACTTTCCAAGAATGAAGTGGGCCCATTATAGAATTCCCATACCACCCCCATCTGAAAAAGAAAAATCAAAATTTTTTATGTAATTAATGGAACGGTTTTTCAAAATGCCTTCTGATTAATGCCTTCTGGAAAGATGACTCAGCAGTTAAGAGCAAGCAAAGGACTTGAGTTTGGTTCCCAGTGCCCACATAGGACAGCTCACAAGTGCATGTGATTGCAGCCCAGGGGTCCAGAGCTTCTGGGCACCCATATGCCCCTTGGGCACCTACGTGCAAGTACACACATTGACACAAGCATGTACACATATGAAAACACACACATATATGTACACATATGAACACTGGCTTTTGTTTTGTTTGCTGTGTTGGGAGAAGAAACCTGAACTACATCCCTGCCCTTTTGTTTTGTTCTGAAGCGGGGTCTAGCCTGCTTGCCCAGGCTGCCCTCAAACTTACGTCCTTCCTCAGCTTCACAGGCAGCTGGGATTACAGGTGTGTCTCACTATGCCAGCTAACTCTTGTTTTGTTTGTAAACGCTGAAGGAAAGTATATTTTATAAAATCGTGTGCTAAGTGTGTTCCCATTAGAGAACTAATGTCTCTCTATTTTAGGATATGTCAGCATATGTGAAGAAAATCCAGTTTAAATTACACGAAAGCTATGGCAATCCCTTAAGAGGTATGTTACAGTTTTTGACTCATCGTATACATAATTACAAAAGGAACGGGAACTGATTCAGTGATTTATAGTTGTCTCTTTTCCTTCCCTCTCTAGTCGTTACTAAGCCGCCCTATGAAATTACTGAAACAGGATGGGGTGAATTTGAAATAATCATCAAAATATTTTTCATTGACCCTAATGAGAGGCCGGTGAGTAACAGCAGTGTTGCACGCAGGAAGGAGAGGGCGTTAGCGTGGGCCTGTGTAGCTTACTGAAAAGCTGCGGCTTGCTCACGTGGTCCCCTGTACGCCCAGGTCCTAGTGCTTGTGCCCTAACTTAAATGTCCCTTGTTACTCAGGGTCTCTCAGTTTAGAAAGGAACTACATTTTTAAAGGGGAAGGGGGTGGCGTTAAAGTCCTAGCAAAGCTGAATGTAAAGAAGTCTCACAACCCTAGTGGCTCAGGCTGGTTAGCGTCAACAACGTCAAGTCCTTGCCAGCCTGTAACAGAGAACAGAAAGACGGAAGGATTAAAAATGAGCGTGGGAAAACCACAGCAGTCCAGGCACTCGGGACGTGCAGCTACGGGTTCAAGGTTATCCGACTGTCTGACTGCACGTCGGCTTGTTGGCCGGCCCACAGGTGACTTCTCAGGAAAACATGAGGCCAGCGTAGCCTACAGAGTGAGTTCCAGGACAACTAGGACTGTTACACAGAGAAGTCCTGTCTTAAAAGAACAAAACAGAAAATCCTGCCTGCCTGAAACCGAGCGAAGTATTTCAGGAGTCGTGTATGATGTGTGCCCATACGGCTTCCACCCTTGTGCTCCCGGGTTGTAGACGCTGCAACATCTGTTTATTGTCTGTCCCAGGAACTATCAGACACGTGTGTAATGTGGTCACATAATTCATCGTCTCACTTAAGACCGTGTGCTGTTGCTATAGTGGTGCTCAGTGATACTCCCTTTGCACACCCCACCCCAAGCTGGGAGTAACCCAGAGCCTTGTACTACTGACTTTAGTCTGAACCTGGAAACGCCCTTTGAAGGTAGGGTAATGCCACTGGCTAAGTCCTGCCTAAAGGAGGAGGACGAACATCTGTAAGTTGATTTCATTTGTTTAAATTTAGTGGGAAATGTTGGCTCATTTTCCTCTACAGAGTACACTTCCTGTTTCATGATGGTTTGGAGGAACCCTGTTCCCTTACAGTGATTTTAGCTAACCTTGTGGGAAGGTGTGTGGGCCCCTGGATTGGTTCGGATGGTTCACCATGAGCTGTGGTGCTTTGCCAGCTCCTGTGTTTGGTAGCGTGATGGTGTGTGTTCTGCATCTCAGAGCTTTCTCCTCGGTACACCTGTGTATAAAGTCAAGCTGCTCTTGGCAGAGTGAGTTCCCTGCCGGCTGTTTGTTACCCTGGTGGAGCATCTTGCTCACACTGGAGATTTTAGTATTAATTATTCTTTTAGAAAACTACCCCCTTCCCCCATCATGCAGCCCAGCAGCTGACACAGAACTCAGGAACACTTCTGCCTCAGCCTCCACATGCTTCGATTACAACCACAACCAGCTGCAAATGCTTTTCCCAAATACGTCTGTGAACTTAAATATTCACAGAAAACGATGAAAAATCCCACAGTATGGGTATAGGTACTCTCTAGAGGTGCTTGCTTAGACCCTCACCTCTGTGAGATGTGGACAGACAGACAGTATATCTGGTACCAAAACAAAGTTTGCCATCTAAGTTACAGCAGAAGCAAGACCGGGAATTTGATATACTAATTTCATCCCATAATTTCAGCTACAGAAATGGCAGTGTCAGCCAGGCCTGGTGACACAAGCCTGAATCTTAGCACTTGAGAAGTAGAGGCAGGAGGATCAGGAGTTCAAGGCCAACCCTCTGCCACATAGGAAGCTTGAAGCTGGCCTGGGGGTAGGGGAGAGTCTCACAACTCAAGAAGGGAAGGCAGCAGGCTGTGGGAGTGTTTCCCGTGTTGCTGGAGTCTGGATTGATGGCACCCGTTCTGCTCCAGGTGACTCTGTATCACTTACTGAAGCTGTTCCAGTCTGACACCAATGCAATGCTGGGGAAAAAGACGGTGGTTTCCGAGTTCTACGATGAAATGGTGAGACTTTGTAACGAGGGCTTTAAAACTGTGGGGTCTCAGGGATTGAACTTGGGTTATGAGGCTTGGCTGCAGACTCCCACCGGCTGAGCATCCTCGTGTGCTCTTACAGTGAGTTTTAAAAGCACTTAAGTTGGAGACCTTTGGAGTTACTGAGCTTTTTTTTTTTTTATCCCTAAGATATTTCAAGACCCAACGGCAATGATGCAGCAGCTGCTAACGACATCTCGTCAGCTAACCTTAGGAGCCTATAAACACGAAACAGAGTGTAAGTCCTTCGATGTGGTCTGTAATGGTGAAGGAATTGTTTGATTGGTGGCTTTTTGGGGTAGATTTCCTAGGAGTTAATAAAACAAGCTATGTATTACCATAGATGACAACATTGAGCTAAATAAAGGGGCACAGACACTAATAATTCCTGAGCAATTTTAGATGTTAATCCTCAAACCTGTGAGAATGCCTAATTTTAGCTGGCATATGGTAGGAGACTTAGAAATAACTGTGTCTAGCTAATAGGGAGTGAGGGGGGATGTATTGAACTCGTCTTTGTGGTTTCAAAGTTAGATTTTTCTCACTGTACGGGCTTGCTGCCCATCCATGATCCATGTTTTTTAGGACAGCTGAGCTTTGTGAGCCGTAGTTACCTCAGGCTTCCACCAGATGGCAGTGTTGGCTCCAAGCAGGAGTTTTTCTTGTCAAGACCACACAGACTAGCCAACTAGCATTTTAAAGTAGATGGTATCTCGTATGTAAAACATTTATCTGGTAATTTTTAATGTATGCAGCTGATATTTTTGCTTTTGCATTGCTGGGGGTTGAATCCAGCATGTAACCTAAGCAGACTCAGCCTCTGGACATTTTTAAATAACAACACTCCTTTGTCAACATAAATCGTTGTAATAATAGTTATAAAATGTTTCGTATATCACACATATTCTAGGGACTTTGTACACATCGGTTCATTTAAGATCCCCTGAATAGGCCTGGGGAGTTGGCTTGGCTGCTGAGGCAGTTTTGTGTGCACAGGACCTGAGTTTGGATGGCGGACACCTCTGTAAAAAGCTGGACATGGTGGCCGGTCAGAGCTGGTGACACAGAGGAGGGGCGGTCACTGGGACTTGTTGGCAATTGTCCTTGCCCAATCAGTGAGCTGCTTGTTTAGTGAGAGAGCCTGTCTCACAACAGTAAGATGGAGAGCCACGGAGGAACACGCCTCAAGTCGTCCTCTGGCCTGTACACACATGCACACACCCCACACACATGCACACACCCCACACACATGCACACACCCCACACACAGTCATCTCAACAAATAGTTATGACTTAAAACTATGTCATAAATGAGGAGGTGAGGTAGAAATGTGTCATAGCTAGCACAGCTAGATTTCAAATTTAGACAGTTTTGCTCTTTTTAGAAAAGAAAAGCTAGAGGCTTGTTTTGGTGGTGTAATTTTGCTATGTAAATTGCACCTGTGCATTATTAAGAATATTTTGGGGCTGGATGGTGATATCACCTCATGCCTTTAATCCCAGCACTTGGGAGGCAGAAACAGGTGGATCTCCGTGAGTTCGAGGCCAGCCTGGCCTACAGAGTGAGTTCCAGGACAAGCTCCAAAGCTACTGAGAATACGTGTCTTGCAAAAGACTAATTTTGGTTGGCTCACTGGCATTGCTTAGGTTTGTATCCCGTTATTCCAAAGTGACATGCATCTAGGGAAAAACCAAGAGTGATGCCTCAAAAATCTGAACTGTGAGGGGCTAGTTCCATTTTTCTAGAAAGCAGCTTGGAGCGTCTGTTGGTAGTTTAGACTTCCTACCCTCTATACTTCCGTGTTGCGTGTTGTCCACCTCTCCTGCAAACGTTGGCCTTAGGGGACACTGTCGGGTCTTCTGTGTGCGCCTTCGCATAGCAAGGGGTTCTCAGCTCCTATTTGTCTTCAGTTGCAGAACTTGAAGTGAAAACCAGAGAAAAGCTAGAAGCCGCCAAGAAAAAGACAAGCTTTGAAATCGCAGAGCTTAAGGAAAGACTAAAAGCAAGCCGTGAAACTATCAATTGTTTAAAAAATGAAATCAGAAAACTTGAAGAAGATGATCAGACAAAAGACATCTAAGCGCTGGCCGTGAGTCAAGCCACAAGCAGGCGGCCCTGCGGGGATGGACTTGGTGCAGGTGCTGTGATGTCTCTGGAGGAGCTGCGTGTGTTTGCCAACCACGGTTTCTCAGCTGCGAGGTCCAGTACTCACGGTGCCCCAGCCCTGGGAAATCCTGTGTGGCATCATGATGCTAAGCACAACCTTCAAGTGTGTCTTTTCTTAAATTGGCTGTGTGTGGTTATTTTCCTTTAGGCAGGCATCAACATCTTGTTATACTTGTACAGATTTGGTAGTGTGTGTATTAGTGCTAGGAAGAATTAGTATTTATATTTAATTTTTCAAGTTCCCACCTGTCCCGTTCTACCTCTTTTGTATGGGATGCGTCTTGTAAGTCTTCAGTAGATGTAGTTTCTTATGTCTTCTCCGATCACTTTTCAAGCTTGCAATTTTAAATAAATATTCGTATGTTTTTGTTTTGTTTTGTTTGAGCACTCCATACAGTGTATTTTGATCATATTCACCCTCACCTCCTACCCTTAGCCCCTCCCAGATCCACCCCACCCTGCCTACTGCCCCCAGTGTTGTGTCCTATTGAATTTAGCCCATCAGCTCCAGTTTGCTGTCTGCGTACTTCTGGGAGTGGAATGTCAACACATCCTTAAAGAAGATTGACTCCCTCTCTCCCTGAAGCCATCATCTGTCTACAGATCCTCAGTTAGGGGTGGGGACTCCTGGGACACTTCCTCCTAACACCTAGACCATCACAGTTCACAGAAACGGCCGGGAAGTGGCGTGTATGAGAGACTGAACAGCCGGGCCCTTTCCTGGATAAGAGGTAAGCTGTGTGTCTCAGTGTGTTGTGGTGAACTGGAATGGACCACCATGATCCTAACAGAAAAACGGATGGTTGAATTCTGGGCATTGTTTTGCTTTGAGACACTATGTAGCCCTGGATGGCTTTGAACTCACAGTGATGTGCCTGCCTCTGTCACCCAAATTCTGTCATGAAAGGCTTGTACCACGGTGCCCAGCTTAGCTGGGTAGTTTTAATATTGGAGCGGGGGAGGGGGGTTGGGGGGTGAGGTGGAGGGATGGGGGATGGGTGACAGGGGACAGTTTATTCATACCATAGCTCCTGTGGCCACAGAACTTTTCTGGAATCAGGTGTTGCCTCCCACCTTGTTGAGGAGGGGTCCCTTCTGTTTCTGCTACTGCGCTGCATCCTCCGAGTTAGCTGGCCTGGGAGCCTCCTTTTCTGCTTCCCACCCCACTATCGGAGCCCTGAGATCATAGGTGTGCACCCCGTACCCAGCTTAGTATATGACCTGGAGGCTTGGCCCAGGTCATCAGAATTGCACAGCGAGTGGCTACCTACTGAATCTGGACTTTTGGAAATGGATTTTGTTTTGTGTTTATTGTCCTTTTTAAGTTTTGGTTATTTTTAATTGATTTTTTTTTTGTTATTTGCGACAGGATTTCTCTGTAGCCTTGGCTGCGCTGGAACTCACAGAGATCTGCCTGCCTCTGCCTCCCAAGTGCTGGGATTAAAGGCGAGCGTCCCCAGTGCCCGGCTAATTAATCTTTTTTTTTTTTAAGTCCTTAAAGATATAAGAGATTCAGTGGCATCCTAGATAGTAGTAATCTTATGCAGCTCACTGCAATTTCCCAAGTCAGAGGAGCACTCCTCCACCACTGAATCCTTTGTCCTTTCTTGCTCTCCCTAGCTGGCTTCCTTAGACTATCCTCTCCTCCACCTTCAACAAGGCTGCATCGCCCCTTAATCCCTCAGTGAGTCACAATTTGACAATTCCCAGTCAACTGGATCTATACCCGCTTTGTTCGCTGGATGAGCATAGATGTAACTTGAGCTTAGGGAATATTTCATTCAGTTCACATCTGATAACAAAATTAAGCCTTGAAAGACAAACTATTGAAGTCATAATCTGTCCAGGGCCACAGTAGGATTTGAATTCAGCACCCCCTGCCCACTGAGCATGAACACTCACGTATGAGACACACAGAGCTTCTCGGAGACACATAAACTGGAGATCAAACTGGATGGTCACTTTCCAAGAAGCCAGCTTCTCTGCCCAGGCAGTGGTCGCACACGCCTTTCATCTCAGCACTCAGGAGGCAGAAACAAGCGATCTCTCTGAGTTCAAGGTCAGCCTGGTTTAGAGTGAGTTCCAGGACAGCCCGGGCTACACAGAGAATCCCTGTCTTGAAAAAACAAATAAAAAATGTTACAGTAATAGACGACTCAATTGAAAACTGAGCAAGACGATTAACTGCCATGCAGGACAAGAAGGAAGTAGTGGTCCAGAGGCGTGTGAAGTTTCTCCGGTGGGCTCCGGTGGGGCTAGAGAGATGGCTCAGTGGTTCCGAGCACGTGTTACTCTTGCAAAGGACCTGGGTTTAGCCCCCAGCACCCACACGGTGGATTATAACCTATTATAGCTAGAGTTCCAGGGGGTCCCACACCCTCATGGCCTCCACAGGCACCAGGCATGCACACGGCACACATACATACAAGAATCAAAAACACTCACATGCATAAATCTTTCTTTAAAGACTCCCTGCAATGGTGGCGTGGCTGCAGAGTCCAGCCAAGCTGTGGTAGCTTGAGTGATGGCAGAGCAAGCGTTTAGAGAGTTTCTTCCGCTCTTTGGCAAAATATTGGTTGGAAGGAGTGCACCCACTGTAAGCAAAGGTGGCATTACGGTTCCAGAAAAATCCCAAGGAAAAGTATTGCAAACAACAGGGTAACCATGGGACCAGGTCCTAAGGGAAGGCTGGAAAAAGCCAACCAGTGAGAAAGCTGGAAACGAAGTGCTCCCGGGCCACACAGGCACCGAAGCAGTTCTACACAACACGCTTACTTTTGACTCAGAGACGGTGACATTCTTGCAAAGTATGTGGACAATAATCACTGTTGACTCGGTGTTTTATGAAGCTGCCTGAATCACCAAAGTTCTGAACTATTCCATCATGTGTATAGTTTCCATTCTCCCCTTTATAATAAGCCGATGACACCTAAACTAATTTTCCCAAGAAAAATAATGTTAAACAGACAAGTAAAAGCCCATTTCTAGCGAAGCAACGCATGCTCCGGGGGTCTTTGTGGCTACCCCTCTTTAAGACCAGCATGCCTAAAATTGGCGCTGATGGTTTACCAAATTCCAACGCTGCCTCAAGTGTACCCAGACACCACTGCCAGAAGATGTTGATGAGGCCTTGCCTAAAGCCAAGTCTCTCCTGCTTTGGACTATGCTGTCCTGAGATTGTTCCTGTACCTAAGACCTTCGGATATGACACAAATGTGTTTGCTTTGTTGACACTTGGAGACTAGCAAAGCTACTTAAAAAATGATTGTTTTCATTTGTAGGAGTGTGTCCCTGCTTGTATGTATATGCACCACATGTATGGTAGCTTCCTTTGGAGGCCAGAAGAGGGTGCCAGGCCCTCTAGGACTGGAGGTACAGATGGTTGTGAGCTACCATGTGGGTGCTAGAAATAGAACCTGGGTCCTTTGGAAGACTAGTCAGTGCCTCTAACCACTGAGCCATCTCTCCAGCCCGAATTTTATATCTGTAAAATGCAACCTAAAGTCAGTGCTTTCCTGTCCCCTCATTTCTGTTTTTGTTTTTGTGTTTCTGTTTTCTTGGTTTGGTTTGGTTTGGTTGGTTTTTCAATACAGGGTTTCTCAGTGTATCCTGGCTGCCCTGGAACCCAAAGATCTGCCTGCCTCTGCCTCCCTAGTGCTGCTGGGACTAAAGGTGTGTGGCACCATCTCCTCCCCTCCCCCCCCCCCAATCTTTCTGAGTTGAGGATGCGGGGACTTTTTCTAAACAGACCCAGGGAGTACTGTCTCAGTCTTTTTACAGTGGGTGACCTCTGCTGTTGTGTGAAAATAGTCACACAGCAAATGAGTGCAACTATTCAATAAAAAACAGCTTTATTAGCACTGAACTCAAATAAGATGATTTTTCATGCTCATCATTCACTATTCACAGGCAGTCCCAAGGCCTGTTTTCCAGTTTCTCTAGGTTAGAAATGCAGTGAGACATGTTGACCACAAGAGGGCGATCTATGCTTTCCCATGGAATTCAGAGTTCTTCCAAGTTACCCTACCTAAAAAAGGGCTTGCTAGAGCCTGTGGCATGCATGACTTAGCAGATGAATCAGACTGACTCACTGAGGTCAGTCCATAGAACCCACAATGTAGAAGGTGAGAACCAGCTCCCATGTGTTGTCTTCTGACAGACATATCGACACACACACACACACACACACACACACACACACACACTAAATAGATGTGTAAATGTATTTAATGAGCCACTGAAAGCACAAGTACACTGGGTAGCTTCCTTTTGCACTGTAATGTTACCCGAGACTTGCCCTTACCCCTTTTGAGTGCTGAGAAACTGTTGTATCGTGAGGAATTTGCTTCCAAACCCACTAAGACATCGGCTTCTTCCTGCCCTCTAGTGCCCACGTCATCTTCAGTGTTCAGTGTTCATGTGACCCTTAGCGTCTTTGGGAGGGTCAGTTTGCTTGTTTGTTTTTGAGATGGGGGTCTCAGTTTGTAGCCCAGGTTGGCCTTGAACTCAAAATAATTGCCCTTACTAAAGTTGATTACAGGTGTTTGTCTCCATGCTTGGCTGACTCCCTCCCTCCCTCCCTCTTTGCCTGCCTCCCTCCCTCCCCTCCTTCCTTTTTCCAGTCCTGCTGGATAGCTCTGTCTCTTTCAGCATATCTTCCCCCCTCCATTTTATCTATTAATGTTTTATTTATTTCATTAGTTATTTGGGTTTTTGTTTTGTGAGACACGGAGTCTCATGTAATCCAGACTGGCCTAGAACTTGATAAGTAGCAGAGGTAGCCTTAACTGCTCCTGACCGTCTTGTCTCAGCCTCCTGAATGTTGGGATCACAGGCTTGTCTTACCACCTAGGATGGGTAACTCTTTAAAGTTCCCTAAGTGTCTACCCCAAGCCAGCTTTTATTCATGGTTTTAAGCCATATTTTATGCCCATCATCCAAAGCCAAATGCCTGTTCTGAGCTCTGGACTATATTAAATTACTTCTAGATAATATATCTGGGTGTTCTGCAGTCACTTCCATTAGAACATTCCTGAAGCATAAGTCACGGCCTATTTTAGTCTTCCTCCGTCACACCCCCCCATCCTGGCACACAGCACCAGCCACCTTATTATCTGTGGTAGACAGCGTCTTTCCAGCACGGGCTTCTCTGGTGAGAACCACAAGCCTCACTCACAGAAATGGGTCCTGTGGCCATGCTCCTGTCATGTGACCCTTCTCTTTAGTTTGGACTTAGAGCATCTGTAACCCAGATCCGGCATTGTCCATCATCGTCGTTGCCCATGTTGGGGCTGGTGTGGCTGTTTGCATGGAGAAGAGCCATGGTGGAGGCTTTCAAAGTGT